CGGGGCCGGGGCAGCGCGGGGCGGCGGCGGGGTTCGGCGGCGGGCGCGGGCCTGGCGGGGCCAGGCGCAGGTAAGCGGTGGCGGGGGGTTTGCAGTCGCTTTCTCCGGCCTCTAGGTGTCACGATGGGGCTCCGGTTTGGCTGGGGCCCCGCAGCGGCCGCCGCCGGGGAAGCAGGGGGCTTTGTCTCCCTCTATCGTCCCCAGCGCGGCCGGCGCCTGCCTGCTACCGCCGCCATTCCCCACAGCGCGGCGCTGGGCCGGCCGGGCCCGCCGAGCGCCCCGTCCCCGCCTGGCCCGGGGCCGCCGGCCCGGACTCCATTTTCCTTCCTTTGTTTCCTCCGCGGAGCCGCCGGCGCTAATTACCCCGGGCCCGCGGCCCGCTCCCCCGGGCCGTTCCCCGCCCCGGCCAGCGCTGCCGGAGGGCGGCCGGTTCGCCCCCCTCCCCGGAGCCCTTCCCGCCGAACCTGCGTTAGCGCCGCCGCCTTCTCCTGGCGCTCGGCCTGCTGCGGGCTCGCCGCTCCCCACGTCCGGGCCCGCGATCCGGCTCCGGCCGCGTCCTACTTGGCGCGGCGGCGGCTGCGTGTCCCGCTCCTGCCGGCCGCCGCCGTGTGCGCTGCGGAGTGAGAGGCGCGGCGAGGCGAGGCGCAGAGCGGGACTCGAGCTCCCTCTGCAAGGCAGGCTGAGCAGCGCCATGCAGCACTGGGCGCGGGCCCGGCTGGGGGCGCCCGCTCGCGCCTGGCCAGCGCCCCCGCCCTGCCCTACCCGCGCCGGCCGGCCCGCCCGCCCGCCAGCCTCCTCGGGTTAGTGCCGGGCTGTGGCCAGGGAGCCGGCCACCCCTTTCTCCCTCTGCTTCACAGCACGCCCTTCCCTTGGCAGCGACTGGCCCCTGCCCAGCGCGCTGCGCTAGACGCTAGCCGGTCGGGCTGCGTGGACAGGACCAACCTGGGCTACAGGGCCAACAGAAAGAGCATGGTTTCCCCCCGCTTCTGCCATGGCTATAGCGCGTATTGCCCTCAGCCCGCCAAGAGCAGACAGGGTTAGGAGATAGTAAAATACCGTCTCCTACAACGAGCTATCCCATTAACGGACCTGGGGGGGCTTTACTCTTTTTCACTCAAATTCTTGAACGTGGCCTCATCTGCAAGCCCTCCAACATATGCCTCTAATTAATTTCCCCCTTGAAGGCTAGTGCTGGTGGGCCCTTTTTGAGAAGAGACTAAAGCTGACACACAAAACATGTGAAATTGTCACGTGGTATAAATTTCTTGAATTTACTGTTAATTTTAATACCACTTAGGGTGCTTTGCCTGGTTCTGTGAGTTGTCCACAATGAAACTTAAATAGTTTATACAGTGCCAATTTAGAACTTAGTAATGTGTGCCCATCGGAAGCTTTTCCTTGCAGTTGTCTGCATTAAATTGAATCTGTTGGTGGTTGATTACTTGTGTCCTTCTGGAGCAGGTTTAGTGTGTCATTACTTTGACTAGGCTTAATCAGTTTAGTGTTCAATTTTGCTATATAGTTATTCATTTCCCCTTGTCAGTTTGACACATTGAAGGCCTAATAGTGATTCTTAGGTATACTGCTATTGACCTCTTTCACTACTGATAACTGACTGGTGAATTCATGTTTAGCTAGTTTAATGCATGACAGGGCTTGAGCTCTCATATAGCTACCTAGTTCTATTAATTACAGACTACTTAAAAACCCTAGTTCTTGTATACACAGCTTACTCCTTCAGACAATTCTGTGGTCCTGCTCCTGCAGTTAAAGGCATATTCAGAGTCCCTTTGAAATCAGTTGTACAATCAGTTCACCCACACCTTAGGGTCTAGTCTTAGTACTGAAATAAAAGGTGAGGGGTACTTTAATTTTCCCAACATTTTTTTTTCTTAAAGATGGCAGTTAAAGGAGAATAATGGGAAAGCAACAAAGCATCTTTAAAGATGAAATATGCAAAACAATAGGCCTTGTCCATTTGTGCTGCTTTCTGATGTTTAAATCGGATGTTTTTGTATTGAACTATAGGTCTTGGTGACTAGAGAACTAGCAAAATGATATCCTAAGAATAAAAGTTGAACAGTGAAGCGAAATTACTTTTAAGCCAGATTTTCAACAGAAGTTCTGAACACTTATTTAACATGAATGTTTGAGGAAAATGTCAAAGATTAATTTAAAAGACAAGTGTATCAAAGGGCATAAACTCAGCTGAGACCTTTCAGCAGAATCAGATGACCAGACTTCATATGAATATTTCTGAAGTAGTTCTACAGGTTCTCGTGCAACTTTTGTTTGGAGGTAGCTCAAGATTAAGTGAGGAGTCTCCTCCAGAATGAGCAGTTCAAAGAAGAAATTGTTTATGGCAGGGGTTCTCAAACCCAGGATCCCTCAGGGGGTCACATGGGAGGGTTGCAAGCTGTCAGCCTCTACCCCAAACCCTGCTTTGCATCCAGCATTTATAATAGTGTTATAAATTAAGAACTGTTTTATACATTTAAGGGGGTGTCACACTCAGAGGCTTGCTATGTAAAAACAGTCACCAGTACAAAAGTTTGAGAACCACTGGTTACTCCTGGGGGAATTCTGCACCACTGCACATGTAGAATTTATGTCCCCAACAGAAAAGTGACTGACAGGGAAGTAAAGGGAAGCCACAAGAGCAATCATGCAACCCTCCCCAGCATGTGTTTCAGGTGCCCAGGGCAGCCAGCAGCAAAGTAAATCACTGTGGGGCAGGAAGCAGGACTGGGGAAGACCTGGCTGGTGGCTTCTACCCTGTGCTGGGCTCAGCAGCTAATCCCAGCTGGACTGGGAAGGACCAGACTTCCTCTTTCCCTGCACAGCATCCAGGGCCGGGTAAGACACCCCCAGATTTCTCCCCTGGCTGCAGGAAGCTCTGCAAACGGCTCCCCACCCCATCACTCCTCAGCTGCAGTGGGAGGGATCCCTGTACAGGGAGCTGCTTCATCTGCCCAACCCTCATGCATCCATACCCCACCTCGTACCAGAGCCTCCGGCCAAGCCTCCCCTGCACTCAGAACCCACCCCCCCATGAGCCCCACTGCCCCTGCACCACCCCAACAAGCCACCCACACCGGGATCCCCACCCCACTGAGCCCCAACCACCTTCACCTGGATGACCCCCCCCCCCCTGCAGAGTCCCATTACCATTACATCCAGAACCCCTCCTTCCCCCCCACAGCCCCGGTGCATCCAGATTTCCCACACACACACACACACACACACACACACGGATCCCCACTGAGCTGCCTGCACCCAGATTGCCCCACACAGAACCCTCTCAACCCACACCTGGATCCCCCCCGCATTAAGCCCCTCCACACTTGAATCCTGCCAGCCCACACCTGGTGCATCTGGCCCAGCAGGGCAAGGCCCTGGGGTGTGGGTGTTTCTGGGGCAGGCCCAGTCTTTGGGTAGTGTCAGGGTTGTGTGCAGCCTCCCCACTGAGTCCATGTCCCAGGGGTTAACTGCACTATGGTCTCCCACCTCTGTGTAGCCAGTGGCCTGTGCTCCCCAGTGCCATGCTGGAGCCTCCATATCTATTTGACAAATAACAATTTGCAGAATTTTAAAATATTGTGCACAGAATTCCCTCAGGAGTAACTGGCTTATGGCAGTGGTTTTCAAACTGTGGGTTGTGACCCAGTAGTGGGTCATGGAATGCAAGGCACTGGGTTGCAGCAGCTATGGTCAGCATTACTGACGGGGCTGTTAGAAGTCCCAGCGGCAGTGCTGACCGGCTAAGGCAGGCTAGTCCCTACCTGTTCTGACACCGTCTGTGCCCCAGAAACAGCCAGCAGTAGGTCTGGCTCCTAGGCAGGAGGGCCACAGGACTCCATGCGCTGCCCCTGCCTTGAGCACTGGCTCTGCACTCCTGCCAATGGGAGCTAAGGGCAGGGGCAGTGCCTGCGGGCAAGAGCTGCATGTGCGCCTCCACCTAGGAGCCGGACCTGCTGCTCACTGCTTCCTGGGCACAGCGCGGTCCACGGTGCCAGGATAGGCACCGCTGACTAGGAACTGCTAGAGGTAAGAGCACACCTCAAACCCCTGTCCCAGCCTTGAGCCCCTTCCTGCACTCCAAACCCCTCATCCTCAGACCCACCCCAGAGCCTGCACCCCCAGCCCAGAGCCCTGACCCGCTCCTGCACCCCAACCCAGAGCCCCCCCCACACCCTAAACCCCTCATCGCCAGCTCTGTTGGGTCAGGGGCATCAATTTTCTTCAACTGGGTTGCCAGAAAAAAAAAGTTTCAAAACCACTGGTTTATGGTATCAGCAGGTCATGTTCCAGGTGTGATCCTCAACTAATTTATGGTTGTGTAGTTACCAATTACTGCCCTACTTGTTGCTTCTCTGATATCTCACTGGAGTCCGGTGGCACCTTAAAGACTAACACAGGATTTCTCAAACTGGGGGTTGGGACCCCTCAGGGGGGTCGCAAGGTTATTACATGGGGGTCCCAAGCTGTCAGCCTCCACCCCAAATCCTGCTTTGCCTCCAGCATTTGTAATGATGTTTAAGTGTTTTTAATTTATAAGGGGGGGGGGGAGGAGGGGAAGGTCGCACTCAGAGGCTTGCTATGTGAAAAGGGTCACCAGTACAAAAGTTTAAGAACTAGTGGACTAACAGATTTATTTGAGCATAAGCTTTTGTGGGTAAAAAACTTGAAGTATTTTTTACCCACAAAAGCTTATGCCCAAATAAATCTGTTAGTCTTTAAGGTGCCACCGGACACCTCATTTTTGTGGATACAGACTAACACGGTCCCCCTCTGATATTTGATATTTCACTGGTCCTCATTGCTGTCATGCCTTGGAGACCACCACTTTTTTGGTATTCATACAAATTTTCCTTAATCCTCTGCCTAGAAATTGTTTCTGTGAAATCCCTTATTTAGAGCACCCATCCCAAGACTTAATGTCCTTTACCTATAGTTTTATATGCAAAAATTGCTGTTCTGTTAACGCTCACTCCACACAGGTTAGGTCTGCCTTTGCCCATTCACAAATTCTAGTACTTTTTGCCTTTATACAAGTGAGCATAAAGCATG